GATGGTTTTGAAATTCGAGTGGGACAGACTTAAGGTCATATCTTGGTTCCCGTGGACTTGATTTCATTTTCCTCAACTTCAGCTTGAACTTGCATATGAATAGTTGGTGGTTTGTCCCCCAATCAGCATCTAGCCTGGTTTTCACAGCTGATATAGAGCTTCTCCACCGAGTCTTTCCACAAATGTAATCTATTTGATTCCTGTGCATACCATCAGGAGAGATCCATGTGTATAGCCTGTGTTTATGTTTTTATAAAAGGTATTTGTAATAAATAAATCATTGAATGTGCAGAACTCTATCATTATATTTCCAGCCTCATTTCTCTCACCCAGCCCGTGTTTTCCAGCTACTGATCCTTCTTCCCTGTTCCCAACTTTTGTGTTCCAGTCGCCCATTATTATTAATGCATCTTGATTGCATGTTCAATCAATTTATGACTGTAAAAGTTGGTAGAAATCTTCTATTTCCTCCTCTTTGGCTCTAGTTATTGGTGCATATATTTGAATGATATTGGTATTCACTGGACTTCCTTGTATGCGTATGGATATTATCCTGTCACTCACCACATTGTGTTTCAAGATAGATCTAGAAATGACTTTTTTAATTATGAAACAAACCCCATTTTTTCTCACCTTTCATCCCCAGCATAGTAAATCATATGATCATCTGATTCAAAATGTCCCGTGCCAAGCCATTTCATTTCACCAATACCTAGTATGTCAATATTTATGTGTTCCATTTCTTTCTTAACAATGTGCAATTTTCCTACACTCATGCTTCTCACATTCTATGTTCCAGTCACTAATGTCTCCTTACAGCTGTTCCTCTTTCTCCATGTTTCCATTTCTAAGATCTCAGTTTTAATCGCCATGTCTGCTAGTCCAAATGATAGTCTAAGTGTGCTCTATTGTACATAGGGCTTTCGAAGGCCTGTAATTTTGGATGTGGATGGCCAATCCTTCTTCCTAGAGTAAAACTTAGATGAGAAAAATATACATTATTGTATATGAAACATAGAATTTGAAAGGTTCCTGATGTAAATAATAAAACCCATGAAATGTTTTATTGAGGCAAGTACACTAAAAATGGTTGCTATAGGAAATATCAAAGATTGCTGAAATCATTTATTAATACAAATTGCCGTAAATGTTGTTTCTAGTGTTTACCATGTTGTTGCTATTGCTATTGTTGAGTACTCTTGATTCAGAACTTATCCATAGTAGAAAACCCTTTAGATACAGTAAATCCCATGGGAAGATATTGCCTATATTTCTCCTGCAGGGCAGCTGGTGGATTTGAACCACATTCATTTGCATTGGCAGCACAATTCCTTACAACATAACTCCCTATGAACTACACCACCAGAGTGTGTGAACAAACCTGAAATTCACTTTTTAAATATTTCTTTGATCTATTCTTTGATTTAGAATATCATTCCTCTCCTAACAGACAGTTTCCAGATGCTTTTTTAAATAACTCATTTTATTAAATAACCAATTTATAAAGTCATACTAATGCATTGGATTGGTAGAAGAAACCATGTCTTCTCATTGTCCCATAATAAATATTCCCAATGGTGGTGGTGGTGGAAATGGTGTCAGAAGTTCTCCCCAATCCCTACTTTTTTCTTTTTCAATTTATTTACAACAGTATGGAACCAAAGTTGAGAGGCAGATCTTACATTTCAGGAAAGCTGTACTAGTCTTTCAATCTATGTTGGTTTAGGTGGAGCCCCAGGTTAAGTTGTTTTACACACTACCTACTGCCTCACCCAATCTACCCAACCAATCCTTGTCTGCCTTTCCTAGCAATCAGCTTGAAACACCCCAAATCTGAGCAGTTCCAACTTAACCATGTACAACAGCTTAGTATAGAACAGAAGCCACTAAGCCCTCTCATCTGAACTCTTAATTTATAGGATTAAATATCCTGGAACAGGGGATGTGAATTGTAATCAGAATCAAACAAAGATTTTTAAGTAAGTCATGACAGAAACACTAAGAACAACTGAATTATACTCCAGAAAAAGTTTTAGCTATTGTTCTGAAACATTCCATAAGAAAGGGCCTCCAGGTATAAGCTCTGCACACAGTAGGAGCTTTGGCCAATAGTTTGTGACTGTGAGCCAGATAATCTCAGGCTTGTCTGGTATGGGAACTGTTGTTTTTGGCTCATTCCATAGTTAAGAGTTCTTCAATTCCATTACAGAATTTTCTCCAATGTATTACAGTTGTCCTTAAAGCTCTTTAATTTGAGAAATTTTACTTCAATTTGGCACTTTTACTCTTCTGATTGGAGGGGAGGTGTGTAACCTGGATGGTTGCTGGAGAGCCTTCAGGAGACTGGGTAAGGTCTTTTGCTGCTGACTAGTGGTGTCACTGAGAGCTCTCACTTCGTGCTTTGACCATGGTGGCCAGCTCAGTCAGGTCCTGTTGATAGTGCAGGTACTCACTCTGGCTATCTCATAACCATCTACAAGGGTATTAATGAGGGCCTTGTGAACACTCTTGAAAGGAAGAGCAAAAATTCTTGACCATTAGGAAATGTGGATTCTGGCCTTCAGTATGAAATGGGATCTCAGATGCATGGATGGTGTCAAGAATTTTGATCCTTTACAGATAGTTGTAACACTTTTTATTCCTCTAGGCTTCCAAGTGTAGCAGTCTAGCATCATTAACTGCAAGGAGCGGGGGCTCAAATTTGGTATACTGAACGCTTGATTGTCAAATATCAATCTCCTCTTTCAGACCCTTGGGAGCATTGTGTCCCACAGGGACATGAATTCCTCTTCTAGATTTCATTGCAAAACACACGATTTGCCTCTTCACAAAAATAAAAAAGAGGACAAACACCATGCTCTCATATGCCATCACCAGAATGACATTCACTGCAGACAGCCACTTACTCCTGGACACCGAAGTCATCTCACCTCACACAGAGCTGCTCTGCTGTACTTCGTTACCTTGCCTCGTCAGCCAGACTTCCCTCGAGGCAATGGCACATGGGTTTCCTGGAGCTCCATGGCCATTTCCTTACCGGGGAAGGCCAAGCAAGATCTATCATAAAAGCATGATGCTTGAGGGAGGGAACAGTCCAGCTACTTCTTAATGCAGCCCTCTCTTTCTAAGATTAGAGCGCTTCTATTTTTCCTCCAAACATTTGTTCACTTAATCATAAAACGCAAATTAATCTCTACGTGTGTTAGGCAGGATTTACCACAGAGAATAGTTGCTCTTATATCATGGCTGACATGTCCTATAGAGACAGAGAAGATTCCCAACTTTTAGATGTCCCTGTAAGGATATCTTGTCCAGTCTTTCTCAACCACATTTCATAAAAGAATTGATCTTTAATACTCATCCTAAGATGTTTATTAAATATAGTTAACTTATTTCTTCCCTCTGTATTTCTGTAAAACTTAATTATACCAGAGAATTCATCTGAGAAATCTTTTAGGCACCCACTCTTGAGCCTCTATCTTTTCTCACGCTCCTTCCTTTGTCTAGAATGGTCTTGCCTCTTGAAAAACATCTACATAGCCTGAAAAGCAAACTTGAATGTTCCCTCTTTTGTAATGCGTCTCTTCTACCACATCTTCCATTGTTGTTAACAAGCTTGGTAGCCTCCTCTAAGCCCAAACCTCTACAAAAAGATGGGGAAATGCCAGTCTATAGTACTTAGATTGGTGTTGGTGGGAAAATTCAACAAGGAGAAATGTTGCTGAGAACACAAGTAAGAGTAAAGAGAGAGGGATAGTAGAACGATAAGATTTGTAAAAGAAGAAAAAAAAGAAAGTGCAACAGGGGTGTGTGTGTGTGTATGTGTGTGTGTGTGTGCATGTGCATGCACGCTTCCTATAAGCAGAAGAATAGAGAGAGGCTGGGTACCATAAAGCAGAGCTCAGTAGCAAATCTGGCCCAGTTTAGAACCAGGTCTGATGTTATTTCCTCTGAGATGTCATTCTTTGCCCTAGGAACTGCATTGGGAAGCAATTTGCCATGAACGAATTGAAGGTGGCTGTGGCCCTGACCATTCTCCGTTTTGAGCTGTCACCAGACTCCACCAAGGATCCCATCCCTATTTCAAGAATTGTGTTGCGGTCCAAGAATGGGATTCATTTACACCTGAAAAAGATCCACTAGTGCCAGTGAGGACAAGAGCAGGCTTATCTCATCTATCTCTCTTGGATAGTCACTTGCCTCCTATCCTGTCTTCCTTCTGCATATCCTCCAGTTTCCTATTTTCCACATGCTTAATCTTCTTCTGTTCACTACATTGTCTTCTTTTTTCTACCAACCTTTTCCCCAGTTCCCTTCACATTTGTCTAACATTCTCCACCTGTGTCTCTGATTGTGCATCTAACTCATGATCATAAACCTGACCACCAGTTTGTCTATCCACCTATTTATTGATCGTTCCCCCCTGTCTTGCCTGGCCCTGTGCTGCTATAACAATTACCAAAAATGTAGTACATAGAAAGAATACAGATTTATTCTCTTCTAGTTCTGGAGGTAAAAAACCTGAAATGGCTTCATCAGGTGAAAACCAAAGTAGATCCTTCCCTCCAGAGGATCTCAAGGAGAATCCATTTTTACATCTTTTCCAAGTTCTAGAGGTGCTTTCATCTGGAAAGTCTCAATGAGTTAGCATATACTCAATGGCAATGCTTTCAGAGCTGTTTCCCTTCAGTTCTTTCCTTTTTGGTTTCCTCGTCAAAGACAGTAGTATTTCAAATCTCTCCCTTGTTCTGCCTTCTCTCTTATCATCCACTCATTCATTAATTGCCATCAAGTAAGAGATGACTCATTGTTGGGCCTCCAGTGGGTTTTCAAGAGACTAAATCACACAGGAGAAGGTTGCCCTTTTTCTCCTGTGGAATTACTGGTGGATTCAAACCTCCAGAAAGATGCCACCTACAGACTAGCAGTACAATTCCCTGTGGACTAAGAACTTCATAATAATTTGATCTCACTCAGATAATCCAGAATGATTTGTCCATTTCAAAATTCTTAATGTAACTTTGTTTGCCAAGACTTTTTTGCTATAAAAGTCGCAGTTACAGTTTCTGTAAGTTTGTAGACACGTGTGAGTGCACTGTTTTCAGTGTGCCATAGGACCCTCATGACTGTCTGATCTGTCACACCTGAATCTCACCTCTCAACACAATTTATCATCTGCTCAACTCTCTTCTTCTTTTCTCACCTCTTCTGCCCAAATAAAATAAATTAAACAATGCTTTAATAGTGTTTGGTCTCCTTGGGATGGAAGAAAATGTCAGAGAAAAGAGGTTATCAGGAAGTCAGAGAAGTCTCTTCTGTAGGACAGGTTGATGCTTTCTCTGTGATGCCCTGGATCCTGTGTGTAGCTTCAAATAATCTCAACCTAGCCTTATACTTGCCCATCCACCCACACAGTCCCCACTCCATGTAGTCCTACTAGATGACACTCAACTCAGCCCCTGAAGGCTACAATTAGCTAGATTTCAAGCCAGCACTCAGGGATGAACTTCTCCCAGGACACTTGACGTAAGTGCTGCAAGACCAGGAGCAAGAGCACTACTACAAAAAGAAATAATGAGCTGGAACAGGTAGTTGATAACACCAAGATGGGCTCCGTCACATAAACACAATTTATGTAAGAAGAAGTGCCAGTCCTCACGCTGCGTATAGAGAACTTCACTTAGGGCTCTGAGTTGTCTACTTGCAATATACAGATTATTGATATTGTTTACAAAGCGTCCAGTCATAAACTGGTCCACACCAAGACCATAGAGAAGAATCGCATTGTGCTCATTGACAGAACACTTTGCCAGCAGAAAAGTAAGTTTCATTATCCTCTGCTCCTGGGCTGAAAGAGTGAGCAAACTAATGCTTGTAGAGGAAAAGATTTTTTTTAAGTGACCAAGGAAAATTCAGAAAAATTATGATGAAAGGAAAAAGAATGCAAAATCCAACAGTCTTCTGGAGGAGTGATGCCAGAAAGGCAAGCTTCTTGTGTATATTGCTTCCAGACCATGCCAATAAGGATGAATACATAGCTATTTGTTATATTACAAGGCACTAGAGCTCTACCTGAGGAAAAATCAAGGCCTGAAAAGGCAAACAAATCACCCTCCCTCCCATCTTAGCTCATACATTAAAGATTTTTTTTCCTTTAAAAAGAAAATAGACTCAAAACATACTACACAGCTATTATAACCAAAACAGAAGAGTACTGACACAATGACAGAAACATAGACCAATAGAAAAGAATCTAGGACTCAGAAATTAACCAAACTATGTATGATCAACTGGTATTCAATAAGGAAACAAAGCCTATCAAATGAGGAAATGACAATCTCTTCAACAAATGGTGCTGGCAAAACTAGACAATTACCTGCAAAAAAGCTAAGGCAGAATCCACATCTCACACCACAAAAAATAAACTCACACAAAAATAAATTCAAGGTGGATCAGAGACTTTTATCTTGGTGAAGTTGAAAACAATAAAATCACAAGAGACAAAACAGGACAAAAGTTAGAAGGCTTAACTATGATATAAATAGGCTGGCAAATATAGCCAGAAATGCACAACCAGAGAGGATAATGATGAATGGGACCTTGTAAAGATTAAGTCCCTGTGTGCTTTAAAAACTTTTTCCAATAGGGTGAAAAGAAAACCAGTGACTAAGAAAAAACATCTGGATACAAATTGACATATTTCAACTTTGAATACCAATTGATATATTTAAACAAACAGACACTACCCTGGATGAGATCACTAAGTTGTGCCAAGAAATCTGGAGGACTACCACCTGGTCAAATGATTTGAAGATAGCTGTATTTGTTTCCATTCCAAATAACAATGATCCAACAAAGTGTGGAAATAATCAACAATATCATTAATATCACATAGAAGCAAGATTCTGCTGAAAATTCTCCAAAAATGACTGAAACAATACATCAACAGAGAACTACCAGTTGTGTAGGCTGGGTTTAAAAGAGACCATGGTACTGGAGAATATTTTAGCTAATTTTAGATGGATCTTGCCTGAAATCAGAGAGTATCATAGGAATGTCTATCTGTGTTTCATTGACATTTGACGGTGTGGATCACAACAAACTGTGGCTGACTCTGAGAAGAATGAGAATCCCAGAACATTTGATTGTGCTATGTAAAACTTATGCTTGGACCAGGAGGCAGTGATCAGAACAGAGCAAGGAGACATGCATGGTTCAAAATAGAGAAGGGTATATGTCAGGGATGTATCCTGTCTCCTTATATTTTTAATCTATATTCAGAATAGATCATCAGGGAGGCTGGGCTATATGAGGAGGAATGTGGCATCAGGCTTGGAGGAAGATTCATTAACAACCTGTGTTATGCAGATGACACAACTCTGCTTGCTGAAACTGAAGAGGACCTGAAATGCTTGCTGCAGAAGGTCAAAAACTGTAGCCTTCACTATGGATTGAAGTTCAACATCAAGAAAACAAAGATTCTCACCACTGGACCAATTGGTAGCATCAGTATGGATGATGAAGCGTTTGAGATAGTTAACAGTTTTAGTTTGCCTGGTTCCACAGTCAACACTCTTGGTAGCAGCAGCCGCCAGGAAATCAAGAGATGAGTTGCATTGGGAAAGTCAGCTGTGAGGGACCTCTCAAGAGTACTGAACAGCAACAACATCAGGCTGGAGACTAAGGTGCACCTTATTCGGGCTATAGCCTTCGCAATTTCATGCTATACATTGGAGAATTGGACAGTGGCTAGGGATGATAGAAAGAGAATTGATGCCTTTGAGCTGTGGTGCTGGAGAAGAGTGTTGAATATACCATGGACTGCTAGAAAAAACAGGTTTGACCTGGAGAGGGTGAAGCTGGACTGTTCTTAGAGTCAAGGATTCTGAAGCTTCGTGTGACATATTTTGGGCATGTTGCAAGGAGGTACTGGTCCTTGGAGAGGGCCATCATGTTTGGCAGAGTGAAGGGACAGTGCAGGAGAGGAAGACCCTCGATGAGATGGTTCGATTCTGTGATTGGGGTGGTGGGAATGAGCGTGTTGGAGACGGCAAGGTTGGCACAGGATAGAGCAGGGTTTAAGTCTCTTGAACACAGGGTCGCTATGAATCACAAGTGACTTGACAGCACATAACCACTACCACAGCAACAAATCGAAAAGGAGATTTCCCATCTTTCTCCCATGGAGCAGCCGGTGGATTAGAACCATAGGCCTTTGGGGTAGCAGCACAACTTTTTACCAGTAAGCCATCAGAGCACCCTGGTCCTAGATAGAGTCTGAGATAAATGTTGCAAAAAAACCCCTCGGTTTTTTAGCTACCCTATGAGCCTGCAACTGAATCCCTGTGGTACAACTTGTAGCAAACAGCAGACAGCTCTATAAGGTGAAAAACATCACCAGAGAGGTACTCAATTATCACAGCAATCACCATAAAGAATCACAAAACCAGAATTTGCTTAGGATAAACCTAAGAAATAAAAAGGAAGAGAGAGAATACAGGGAAGAATGAAAACAAGAACTGCAGTGATATAATGGGAAGAGTGGTGGCACAGTGTGGAAAATATACTCAATGTAATAAAACCAACTGTATGTGGCTATTGAATGGAATACTAATATATGCTCTGTTGCTGATTGTCGTTGAGTCAAGCACGACTCATAACAACCCTATGAACAAAAGACCTGAAGCCTTTCTATAACTATCATTGTTTCTCAAATTTCATAGTGTCTCCGGAGGCATGTTGTTTAGGAAGTGGATGCCACTCTTGCTTCCAATATGCTCTGTAACTACTTAAATCACAATAAATTTATAAAGGTTTGTTGCATGAATGGACATATAAGCAAAGAACAATGCTATGCAATGTTTAAAAACAGGATTATTATCAATCCAGCTGTGTACATTTCCTAGGTTTGTGTGGAAAAATCTCACAAATGTGGTGCCTAAAACAGCAGATAGAAAGAGAATTGATGCCTTTGAGCTGGGGTGCTGGAGAAGAGTGTTGAATATACCATGGACTGCAAGGAGAACAAACAGGTTTGTTCTGGAGAAGGTGAAGCTGGAATGCTCCTTGGAGTCACGGATTCTGAAGCTTCACCTGACGTACTTTGGGCATGTTGCAAGGAGGGATTGATCCTTGGAGAGGGA